AATAGATGAAAAAAGAAACGTAATAGAAAATATAGTTTCCGCATTAAACTAGTTTTCCACAAAACTTTTCTCACACAAAACACGAGAAAATAATATTTTCTCGTGAAAACTACTTCAAATTCTTATTTTATTCAACAACTAAATCATGTAAAATAACTAACTTCTTGCTTATTTAATTGAGTTTCTTTTCTGTTGAGTTTCAAAGAGGATTTTTTTTTTTGGCTCCAAATATATACATTGTATCTAATACACAAATTCAATTATTTTTTTAGTATTTGAAATCATATGGGTAATTTTGGTATGCATAATCATTTTCTTTTCTTTCCATGCTATTCAAACTAATATTTTCATACAATTTTTCTGAATAAATTTTCATGCTAATCAAATGCTTGATAGAATATAAACTTTTCTTTTCATTCACTTTACTTTTCTTTCATTTTCCATTTCTTTTATTTTCTTGCTTATTTCTATCTAACCAAACGAAGTCTTGAGATCTGTTTGGTACAGTGAAAAAGAAAAGAAAGAAAATGAGAGGATATAATAAAAACACTTATCGTGTTTGATTGATTAATAAAGGAAATGATAGTAATCATGTTTGGGGAAATAATAATTAAAATACCATACAATTTTTCATAGATTTAATCTTTTATTAAAAAAAGGGCAAATTTAGTATTAAAAAAATTATAAAAAAAAACTAGTTTTCCTTAACTTACCTTTCATTTCCTCTCATTTTTGGAGATAACAAAATCAAAACATTCTATATAATTTATTTCCATCCGAATCCCTCCATTTTCTTTTCCTTTCTTTTTCTTTAAAAATTTATACCAAACACAATATTTTGTTTCCTTCCATTGCCTTTCTTTTTCCATTTTTTTTTTCTTTTTTTTCCTTTCAATATCCTCCAACCAAACTAGTCCTTACTTTTTCTCCTATAAGAAGATTAGAGAAAGTACCATCAGGGCTGTGGTATGTTTTGGTTTGTATGACTATCCTCTTTTTAAAGTTCTATTAACTATTTCACTGTTTATGCAACAAATGAATCGGCAATTTTTGAAAAAAAAAAGGCAGAGATTAGGTCAACCTATAATTTAAATTCCCATTGAAAATGAAATTGCATGCTTTTTGTGTGTGAAGTGTTGGCAATATTCACTTTTAAAGCCTAATGAGTTGTAATTTTGTGTTTTCAAATCAATTGTTTGATGGTAGTTAAAGCGGACTCATGTTACATTTAAGTGACGGTAATGACTATTTTGAGCTTAATGATAAATTGCTTTGACTTCTACTAAGAAAAGTAGAGTATGACAACGTAATTGAGTTAGCTTGGATCAATTTTTGAATCATTTGAAGAGCGTCGGAGCCAAAGATTATTATCAAAGACAAAGAAACAATGAATAATCCATATTGAAAAAAGAAAAACAAAAAACAAAAAAACAACAATGAAATGATTGTGAAAGTATTCTATTGAGAAGATGAGAAGCTTGAAGAATTTCAAGTATGTTGCATGTGAGTAAAATCTAATTTAAAATTAATAATTAATAAAGTAATTAAATATCTATTTTTTAAAATAGTAATTAAAATAAATTTCTTAAAATAATCACATTAATTTATTAAAAAAGTCATAATAAATAAGTAATTTAAATTTTATAGAAACTTTTCTAAACACCTTATATTAATTAAAAAAATAAAACTCACAGTAAATAGGTAATTTGTGTTATATAGAAACTCTTCTAAACACCTTATATTTATTTAAAAAATAAAAACTCATAATAAACTCATTTTATATCAATTAATATATTTTTTTATATTTAAATAGCGAAACTCTTTACACTTTTAATAATATATATAATAATAATATAGTATAGATAGATATAGACATAGATATAGATAGATTATAGAAACTCTAGGTGTATTTTCAAACTCCTAAAACAATATCAAAATCTAAGACAAATTTTTTTTTATTACAATTTACTAATACTTATTTTAGTAATGAATAATATTCAACAAGTCTTTTTTTTTTCTTTTTTGTCCAAGAATAATACTCTGTATTCAACAAGTCAATGAAAAGAATTATTGAATATTTCATTTATCTATATTAAGACGTATATATGTCCTTTTATATATTTCCTTTTCTAATTAGAGATACTAAATTATTTATTTTCTTTATATATATATTCTTGTCTAATTAGATTTTCTTTTATTAAAAAACTCATAATAAATAGGTAATTTGAGTTTTATAGAAACTCTTCTAAACACCTTATATTAATTATAAAAAATCATAATAAATAGGTAATTAGTATTTTATAGAAACCCCTCTAAACACCTTATATTAATTAATTTATTATTTTTTTAAAATCATGATAAATAGGTAAACAACTTATATTAATTAAAAAAAAAATTCATAATAAATAGGTAATTTGTGTTTTATAGAAACTCTTCTAAACATCTTATTTTAATTAAAAAAATAAAAACTCATAATAAACTCTTTTTATATCAATTAATATTTATTTTTTATATTAATAAATAAAAACTAAAATATTTAAACTCTTTAGACTTTTAATCATAGTACGTAGTAAATATAGATATAAATAGATTATAGAATCTCTAAAGTGTAATTTCAAACTCCTAAAATAATATTAAAAGAACATTGCTTGTCTTAGGCAGCATAAGAAGGAACCTTTTTCTTATGATGAGGTGGTCCAATAAAATATAAACAAGTGTTAAAGTTTTAAAAGAAAAAAAAAAAAAAAAAAAAATTATGACCACGGAGAATAAAAACTGATCCACCCTCCCCTCTCTTTCCATCTCGTCATCAATATTTCCTGAGGCCAATAAGAAATTGAAGGAGATGAGAGGAAATTGTGAAGTTATAACATCAAAATATGATAAATATCAAAAGGGTTCCAATTTAAATAGGTTGTATATTGGGGTTGATCAGATTTGGCGCATGATGGGTCTCTTTCCATAAACGGAGATGTTGGGAATCAACATCATCCAGAAATTGTAGGCGAGGACTTGGTCTTAAGTTTAGCAACTAAGTAATATGATCAGCTAAGCCTTATTTAGTTACCCCAGGAGCAACTGTTCATGGCCATTAAGGTGAAATCATTTACGAAAGAGATACACTAGTTACATTTATATATGAAAAATCGAGATCTGGTGATATTACGCAGGGTCTTCCAAAAGTAAAACAGGTGTTAGAAGTGCGTTCGATTAATTCAATATCGATGAATCTAAAAAAGAGGGTTGAGGGTTGGAACGAATGTATAACAAGAATTCTTGGAATTCTTTGGGGATTCTTGATTGTTGCTGAGCTAACTATAGCGCAAAGTCGTATCTCTTTGGGTTAATAAGATCCAAAGGGTTTATCGATCCCAGGGTTGCAGATCCAAAATAGGCATATAGAAATTATTGTACGTACGTCAAATAATATCAAAAGTCTTGGTTTAAGAAGATGGAATGTCTAACTAATTGGATTGTTGTGAGCGGGACTCCTTAAAGGTTCTAACCAGGGGGCATACAGATCCCAAAAACGCATAGTTTCTCCTCCAAAAATGACTTCTCTAGTCGGGGAACGCATTAGATGTTTACCTAAACTAGTATGTCCTTAAGCGGATCCCACGTTAGCCCCAAGACATTGGTCTCTAACTAGAAAAGTAAATGCTTGAGCTTGAGAAACTTCTAGTCCAGTGGGTCCGTAAAACTCACTAAGATAAGCGATATTATTAAACCAGACAACAACAAGCAATGAAACCAAAAACAGCTAAAGCACCTAAACTATAAGATAAGTAAGCCTCTCCCGACCAAACAAGTGCGCGTCAAGCCCATGCGAAAGGCCTAAGGTAAGCGTTGTTCATATTAAAATCAAAACTATTTTTTATTTTATTTTATTGTAATTCACTAATACTTATTTTAGTAATTAATAATATTCTATAAGTCAATTAACATAATTATTGAATATTTTATTTATCTATACTAATATATATATATATATATATATATATAATCAAGACTATTTTTTTTTAATTACAATTCACTTATATTAATTTTTTTTACAAAACTCATAATAAACTCTTTTTATATCAATTAATATATATTTTTTATATTAATAAATAAATACTAAAATATTGAAACTCTTTACACTTTTAATAATATATATATATATATATATATATATATATAGATATAGATATATATTAAATTAAGCTTTAAAAATCAAGCAAATATTTGAAAAAAAACTCAGCCACTCTCCTCCAAATCATTCCATCCAAAGAATCACCATTAAGGTGAATGGTTGTGCCACCCTCACCCTCACGTATTTTGATCTGAATTCAGCAGCAGACAATCCAATACTTCGTTAATAATTTAAATTAAATTAGCAAACTAAATTTAAATTATGGTCAATCAAATTTGAATATTGTTGTTTTCGAAAGCAGATAGGATATAATGAGTTCACATGCATACTTTTGATTTAATAACTTCATCAACAATATTATAAGGAGAATATTTTGTCAATTAACTCGTGAGTAGGTCATTCCTATATGGTCTAATTACAAATATTTAAATAATGATAATTACAAAATCAGAAAAGTGATAAATAAGGATAATAAATTTGTTTAGAAATAAATTCCGTTACCCTCTATGATTTTCTTTATTTATCACTTTCCTATTTTCTTATTTATCATAATTACTAATTATTTGTGCCTCTGTGATTGGATCACATCATCCCTATTAACCTTTAAAATAGTAGGTAATTACAAATTTTGGGAAAGTGATAAATAAGAAAATTTGTGAAAGTGAATTTATTTCAAAAAGAAATTATTAACCTTATTTATTATTTTCCTGATTTTATAATTATCAATTATTTTTAATAGCAATGAGGAAGTAGGCAAGTCTTGTAAGTATGATTAATTGTGTTACAACTTCCGCTTAGCTACCTGTCCTCACCAACGGGCTCTTCCCTCCTCTCCCTTTTTCACGTCTATAAATACAACAAACCCCACTCCCATCCCTTTCCAATACCCATCCCCACTTTTTATTTTCTTCTTCTGCCATTACCACCATCAACATCAACAAATCATGTGCAGCTCCAAGGCTAAGGTGACCACTGCCATCAATATCACCACCACCACCACCATAGGTGCTCAAATCGGTGGAAGACCAGTCCTCCAACCCACTTGTAATCGCATCCATCATTTGGAAGCCCGTAATTCCCTCCAAAAAAAGGGTCCTCCACCACCACCACCACCTCCACCAATCTCAAACATTACAACTTGTCGGACCAAACACTCCACTCCAGTCCCATCTCCTCCATTGAGATCTCCGCGGCCACAAGCCATCAAGAGAGGGAATGATGTGAATGGCTTGAATACCAGTTCCGAGAAGGTTACAACTCCGAGGACAAATTTAACCACCACCACCACCAAAATATCTACTTTGGAGAGGAAGAAGTCGAAGAAAACGAATGCCGGCATTGCTGCTGCAGGTGCGTGTGATGAAGTGCCGGCGGCATCTACTGTTCCTTCGTTGTCGAGATCATATTCTTCCTCTTCCATAATTGACGCTCCCGGAAGTATTGCAGCTGTGAGAAGAGAACAGATGGCACTTCTGCAAGCACAAAGGAAGATGAAAATTGCCCATTATGGACGCTCCAAATCTGCAAAGTTTGAAGCAAAAGTTGTTCCCTGCACTACTGCTGATGATTCTTCATCTACCACTACAATCATCAATGGTGCCCAACAGAAAAGATGCAGCTTTATCACACCCAACTCCGGTAACCATTCATTTTACTTATTTTATTACAAAAATATTTCCTTGGTTCAGAATTCTATTTTTGAGAATTGAAAATTAAAAAATTGTACAAAAAACTTGTTTTTTAAAAACTGTTTTTTGAGAACTCTATTAAAAAAATTGAATTATTTTCTGATCCACCATTTTTTTTCTATTTTTTAAATTCGAAGTTATAAAAAAAAAGGACTGCATTATATTTTCTCTTGAATTGATTTTTCATTTGTGTGTGCAGATCCTATCTATGTTGCTTACCATGATGAAGAATGGGGAGTTCCAGTCCATGAAGACAAGTACGAGTTCCTCTCTCTCTCTGGTCTCTCACACACTTGCGGTACACATGGCTGACATTTTCTTGCATATATATATATATATATATATATATATATATTGGATGCAGCATGCTGTTTGAATTGCTGGTTCTAAGTGGGGCTCAAGTTGGATCAGATTGGACATCAATCTTAAAGAAACGTCAAGAATTCAGGTGGGTTTTTACTTTCCAACCCAATTAATCAACACACTTCAATTATTTTCTTATTGGCACATAAATTAAATGAAATCTCTCTGCAGGAATGCATTTTCGGGATTTGACCCAGAAAGTGTTGCCAAATTCAACGAAAAAAAGATATTATCAGTCAGTTCGAATTATGGAATTGAATTAAGCAAAGTTCGAGGGATCGTTGACAACTCTAACAGAATTCTTGAGGTAACTCAACCAAAATCAACTTGACAGAAATTTTTTTTTTTTTTTTTTTTTTTTTTTTTGCAATTTCAAATTTAAGACGGTTAGAATATATAGAGTACTATATGGATGTTTGTTATTGAGATTTGAATAACGTATATAAGTTGTGACAGGTGATGAAGGAATTCGGATCATTTGAAAGATATATATGGGGATTTGTGAATCACAAGCCCATCTCCACAAATTACGGATCATGCCAGAAGATCCCAGTGAAGACATCAAAATCAGAGAGCATAAGCAAAGACATGGTGAGAAGGGGGTTCAGGTTTGTTGGTCCCACCATAGTTCACTCCTTCATGCAGGCCTCTGGACTCACCAATGACCACCTCATCAACTGTCACAGGCATTTTCTATCAACAGATTAAAAATTACCCAACACCCAACATGTTCTTGGCCTTATTTTCTAATTAATTACTTTTTCAAAAACCTTTGATTCATGTACAAAACAGAAACGATAACAACAAAAAAACATGGGACTTGTGAGATGCTGTGAGATTTTTTTTTTTTTTTTTTTTTTTTAAAAAAAAGAAAAAAAAAGAGAGAAGGGCTTGAATTGGATGAATGTGGGATTGAGATGGTGATGATTAGGGATAAAGAAAAGAGAGGAAGGTGGTGATGTTGGTGGAGGAGACAGTCAGCATGTGCAATGTAGAGGCAGGGCATGTGATGGGTTGTCAGTCACTTTTTATTCCACGTGACGCATCACAAAAGACACTACATTGTTCCATTATTTGTTTTTCTTTAACAGCCTGTGATTGATTCTGATGGTGGAGGAACAAGACTATGTTGGTGTTGGACTCACCTAATTTGATCTCTCTGTTTCTTTGGATATTTGAGTTTGATACTCTTTTTTTTTTTTTTTTTAGTTTTAAATGTAGCTCTCTACTCTAACCTTGGAGAATATTAATACCCGATTTGGTGTGAAATAAGAGTGTTGTTTAATACAATTTTTCTTTTTTTTCCCACATGGTTTTAAGTATACCTTGATTCATTAGTCATGTGCATCTCCTTATTGAAATGTACCTCTAAATATCTCTAATGTTCTCCTTACTCTAGAGACAGTTTGAAGATCAAACAAAACGGTCTGCAAGGATATAAAAAAAAAAAAAAAAAAAAAAAAAATTGGTTCACCACACCTTAATCTACTTGTTTTTATATGACTTATTTGTCTTTTATTATATAAAAAAAGTAAACATTAGTGAAAATTTTGAAGTTCTGGAATAAAATCTCCAACAGGTTGAAGGATTTTTATTTATTTATTTAATTTTTGTGTCATTAGCAAAAACTCACACACCCACCATCCACTTTGATCCTTTGGAGACTCAACCCTCCCCACCACTTTGCTATCAAATTATTCAGAAAAGTATAAAATTATTCAGAAAGGAATAAATCTAGTCAAGTTACAAATATGGTAAAATTACCATGGTCGACATATTACATTTGGCCGCACAAATATGTAATAATAAATTCCTACGAGCAGAAAAGAAAAAAAAATAAAAGATAAATGAAAAGAAAAGCTGAAAATATAAAGACGATTCAGCAAAATAAATAAAACTGAAACTACTTGGAACACATCTGTAAGAGGAAAGCTGAAAGATCGTTTCATATTATAAAATGCCAGAGTCCCACACCCCTTCCTCAATCTAAAAATAAACAGTATTGAATTTTTATCTCATCTTGAAAGAAAACTAAAAATGCACCACCTCCCATGGCATCTGTGGTCAAAATCTTTCTAGTGTGTCTACTTTCTGTACAAGTAACTTTTGTGTCATCTTTCTCACAAACACAATCCACGCACACAGGAAAAACATAGTACAAGGCATTAGAATTTTGAAGAGATTAGGGAGGAGAAGAAGACTGCAATTAATCCTGTGTACCAATTGCCAAAGCTTAACCTTGATCACCAGATGATTGTCCACGCCCACCACGCCCGCCACGCCCACTGCGCCCACGAACTGTTCTTCCACGTCCTCTACCTAGAGAAGGAGAAGCAGAAGCAGAAGCAGAAGCAGACGAAGAAACCACTCCAGCCTGTCTAAGAAGAGACCTTTGCTTTGCTCTCTCCTGCAAATTAATGGTTGTTGACCTCCTACTAACAGGTGACACCTGCCTGACCTCCTCTGTGTCTGCCGTGACACTCGGGCTAGCTTGTTTTGGGACATCCACTTCTACAGCAGGAACTGTAGGTGTTACCTCACCAACTTCCAAAGCAGCTTCAGGGATTTGATCAGATTCCACCACAACCTGGTCATTACCATCATTCGACTTCTCTGAAGTCTCAACATTCACCTCTGCATCACCTTCATCAGTCCTCTCATCATTCAGTACTTGGGAAGAACTACCTTCCCCAAACTCTAATGTTGCTACTACCAGAGCCTCATCATCGACTCCTGGTGAACTCACCGGAGCGGCTGCAAGCTCAGATTCACCTCCCCCATTTTCTGGGCTCTCCACTATATTAGATATATTACCACCGACCTCAAGACCCGTGTTATCAGGTAGAAGCTCTCCTTCTTCACGCTCACTTCCTGACTCCACCATTGACATTTTGATGTCCTGGTCGGCCTGAACCTTTGACCCATCATCAAACAACACCTCTGCTTCACTTGGCTTATCCAAATTCTCTTCTAAAACATCACTTCTATCATTCTGCAACACAACTTGGCTTGGCTCCTCATCAAGCTGCTCTCCGGTAGCCTCAACCTCATCCTTTTCGGCGTCAATGCCTTCGTCATTGGAATCTTGGGGCAAATCACCAACAGCATCTACGGATTCTTCTGTGACATGTAGAGTTTCTGTAGTTTCCATGATAGCATCAGGTTGTACTTCCACACTATCTTGTGGTGAATCTGGGCCTTTGGCCTTCTTGAGCACAGGCAGTCCCACATCAGAGCTGGTACCTCGTTGAATGAGGGACTCTTCTTGTAACTCAGAAGTGGATGAAGAAGCCAAACGCTTGCGAACAGATGGCTGGGTCAAGAGCGTTATATTGCCTTGAGTTTCTAGGTTAAGGGAAGGAATGGGCTTCCCCATATTATTGGATCCTTCAATTTCTGACATCTCTGTATCCCCCTGGGGTTCCTCAGGCTTCACAATACGAGGCCGAACCAACTTCCTCCCAGTTTTACGGGTTTCAACACTTGATTTTGGTAAAATAAATTTCTTCTCTCTTCCTTCTGTTGCTTTAACCAATGGAAAAGTTGACGGGGGAGCTGCTGAGGGTAAGATACTTGGGGCAAGAGGAGAAACTTCCTGGCCTGCAGAGGCAAGAAAGAATACTTCTCAAATCAAGTTTCCTCGAGAAAAAGGGAAGATAAGCAAAGAAGAAAATAAACTAGCCATCTTAAGGGTCCGTTTGGTTAGACGGAATTAATAGTGGAAGGTGAAAGTGAAAGAAAGTGAAGTGAAGGAAAGGAAAATTAAGTTTCCATCATCAATTTGGTTAGGAGGAAAAAATTTCAAGAAAGTTGTCCAAGAATATTATTTTGTTAGTTTGGATAGCATGAAATTGAAAAAAGAGTGATTGTACTTGGCAAAACTATCCTTGTGATTTCAAACATACGATATCAAACATAAGAATACTAGTACTAATGTGTTATAAGTAAGGTCGTGGGGAATATATATCAATTTATGTGTGTGTGTGTGTGTGTGTGTGTGTGTGTGTGTGTAATGTTTTTTATTTTTTGAATTTATCACATAGTAGGTGCCAGGTTGACAAAATTTTACTATTTACTATTTTTGTTGATTAACCTTGTTCACATGACTTGTGGTGGAATGATAATGTATAATTGTGGCAGTTGAAGGTAATATATAAGGGGTATAATTCGAACTTAAAATAATAATAAATAAAAAAAACACAACTTTCACGGGAAATAAAAATTTTTGCGTAGAAACGTTGCGAGAATCTAATTTTCCTAAAAAAATTCCTTTTCATCCTATCCAACCTCATAAGAATTTTTTTGCTTTTCGTTTCTTTTGTTTTCATGCTACTTCAATCTAACCAAACGGTGACCCTAAGGGTATTCGTTCAAATAAATCAAGAACAGTAATTAAAGACAAGAGGGACCTGTTTTTGTTCCCAAAGATGGAGCATCCACAGTTGAGGAAGTGTCAGTACAGGTGGAAGCTCCAAGCTCACTGGAAACTGATTGTGCAATGCGCTCAAAATTTTCCACGGCCTGAATATAAGCACCAGCAAGGTCATCCAACTGAGTCCCAGAAAGGAGTTGAACCACTGATGTACCCTGAGAAAAATCAAACTAAACATCATGACAATTGAGGAGTAATTAGAACAAAGAACAGTTAAAAAAACAAAGGAACAAAAAGAAACAAGATGTAAGGAACCATTATATATTGTTTTAACGGGCCAAGCCTTGGCTGTAGCTCAGGAAATAATTACCATACACAGCAACTATTTCTTATCTCTATATAATAACATCACCAGACCACTTTAACCAGTAACCGAAATAAAGAGGGCATTTTAAGTTTTGAACTGCAATAATATAACTTTGTCACTTTGATCTCATTAGCAGGATTGGGCTGAAAGCAGAAGGAAGAATTATGGGAACCCAATGGGACATTGCCCCCAAGGTTCTAAAAGTTCCAACAAGTCCCTGGCCATTCTATAGAATTCTTATTACGCATATGCATAACCAAAAAAAAAAAAATACATATATAAAATGAAGAGTCATAAATCTCCGCTGCTTAAATTCTTTGTCAAATTGTATCCAAGAATATGCTGAAGAAATCAACTTGTTAAACCTAAAACAACAATGTTACCTCCGGAAGGTTGCTTTTGGCATGCTTCAGCCTCTCTACTTCATCTGAAAGCCTCTTCAGAGCCTGCTTATGCTTCTCGACCTCATCTGCCAGCTTCGTTTTTTCCTAAAATTGAAAAAAGGAGACAATAAATAATCCACAATAGAATGTGTGTGACCTTTGTGCTCACATATTGAAGTACAAGATTCTTCTGTAAAATATTAAGTAAACTTTTTACTACACACCCCACAAACAATAAATAAATAAATCCCCACTTCAATTTACAATGGTTAGATTGACACACTGAAAGAAATTAACCAATACTAAGAAAATGCATGATGAATGCTTTATACAAGCATCAATATATATAGACACAATACATGCATTTTGAAGTTACATATCAATAAATAGGAGTGTATACACATGAATAAGTGAATATATATTTATATGTGCATATATAAATTATATGTAAATCCCTGTCTAGGCATTTAAATGCACTAGGGATATGTAAGCATGTTTGTACATTTTACATGTATAATATTATACATGTACAAGTCTACTGTTTGGAAATGAATCCTGAATATCTATTGGAAAAATAACTGGTAGGAGGGGGAAAAAATAACACGTTTTCTGAACCACTTCCATTTTTAACAAGAATTTGTGTAAAGCAAAAAACGAAATGCAAAAATTTACTGGAAAATACTTTTACATTGAGACAAGCACAGCATTAATAAAGGGTGCAACCAGAGTACACAAGAGTCTCAAAAAGACTATACGCCACCAGACTTTAAGAAAGTCCTCTAGAAAATCAAGGTAGGTATATCTCATAATGTGTGTGTGTTCAGTCCATAAATGAATTTGCCAAAAAAAAAAAAAAAGAGCAAACACAATTTAAACTAGAGCAATTTGATGTAAAGCAATATGGTTTTCACTACAAAATAGAGCAAATCAAGTTAGGTATATCTCATAATGTGTGTGCGCACTCCATGAATGAATCACCCCCACCCGCCCCCCCAAAAAAAAAACCCGCCCCCCCAAAAAAAAAAAAGAGCCAGCACAATTTAAACTAGAGCAATGTGATGTACAGCAATATTCTATTCATTGCAAAATACATAAACTCTCAAGTGGGTAGGGTATACTTGATTTCAAAATACGCATGTGTGCCATTATCAACAGAAATTGATGCTCAATAATTACAATGAATCCTCAGTACAATGCATTTGAAAAATGTTGGCCAAGTGCTTATTTCTACTCAGAGAAAAGGCCTTAAATGCTATATGTTGTAGCATATACTGGCCCAATAAATTTATCTAGTAAGCGTATATATATTTCTTGTCAACATGTACACTAATGCAGTAGAGAATACCTTCTTTTCAAAGTAGCAAAAAAACCCCAACTTTGATTAAAAAAAAATAACCATTGGAATAATGTAAGTAGCCCAATTGAACAAAAGAGGTATTTGAGCATTGGTAGAGACAAAAACCTGATTAACATTCCCAATAGAATCCACAATTGCCTTCTCAGTCTTCTGACGCCTTACTCTCAACATCTTAACTTCATCCTTCTCTTTCTTCAACTCTTCCCTATGCCTTTCCAAGGTTTTCTCCAGAATCTTCGCTCACATTTAGTAGAGAGAAATGAGCAAATAAAAAAGAAAAAAGAAAAAAAAAAAGTAGGAGGAGAAGAGAATAACCAAAAGAAAAATGGTGTTCAAACCTGAATTCTGGTGTCTTTCTCCTTCTCCTTTTCCTTCATGGCCTGTTCAACAACAGTATCTCCCATGCCTCTCTTTCCTATCAAACATAACTCAAGGATGAGATAAAGCAAGTGATATGACGATAAAGGAATAAATTTACAACGGACAAAAATTAGGTACCTTGTCTTGATTCCTCTAATTGTTTGGAAAGACCGTGATTTTCCCTGCTGAGCTCTTCTTTCTCCTTTGACAAGTTCTCTTTCTCCTTTGACAAGTTCTCACACTTCTTCTGCAGATTAAAACAAAATGTTAGAAGCAAACAACCACCATAACATTAAATTTGAGTAATCAGGACAATCAAGAAGATTTACAATCAAAACATTAGGTAATAATTCTAACTTCATACGAAAATACACACCCACACACACACAAATATAATTTAAATTATTTAATAACCTTCAACTGAGCTACAAATTTCTTTTGCTTCTCGAGCTCTGATTTCAGAGAAGCCTGCAAGTAATCATGAGACATTTTTGGAGGATGTTAAGATATTACTATAAGCCAGTGAGCAAAACTTCTGTATTACAGAAACAATTGGGTTGTAATACCTCAACTTGCAAAATTTCATTTATCCTGTTCTCCCTTTCAATCAGCTCAATTCGGCTCTTTGCAAGATCTTGTTCCAACTGTGATATTACTTCTTGCTTCTCAGACATAAGTATATTCACTTCCTCAAGCTGGGCATCCTTCTGCCTCAGATTTACCTAGTGAAAAGAAAATAAATTGAGAACCAAATGCCAGAGAAATACTCACAAATTGCAAAAGAATACTCATAACCAAATGGAAAAACCTAGAAAAGCTTAAAGTGAAAATATATAACTTCTACATGCCACTACGGCTTCAACATGCCAAACCAAATATAATACATAACAAATCACTACAGCACAGTATAATATAAAGATAAAAAAATTCCAAAAAAATATAACATTTACAGTTGTTATTCCCAAAAAGGGGGGGGGGGGGGGGGGGAAGCCACAGCACATCCATATAAGCATTATACCTACAAAAAGGATTTCAAATTACTTTTTCTCCAGCAGGTAAGATTAAATTCTATTACCGAAGAGAGATATCTAGAAGCAGCTTAGCACAAGACCAAGGCAACAAACAGAACAAGCTTCTGACAGCCCCTAGATAGATAGGTCCACCTCGCCAACCCCTGAAAATTTTTAGTATAATAAAATTCGATATATTTCTTGTTAAAAACCATCTACTCCAAAAGCTTAAGCCCCTCACGTGTGGCCTTCTTTTGGTCTAACACATGCTTCAATTTTAAATTATCAGGGTGACGGTGAGGTTTGAACTAAGACCTTTGGCTCATTAACAACCATCTACTCCAAAAGCTTACGCTGCTACAGAGGGTGTAACTTAAATATTGATATATCCATCAACATTTCTCTAAAAAAAATATATTCCACAAGCACTAAACAACAGAAGCACACATGATAAAACAGACTACTAATCATGAACAAATATGGCTTAAGAAAATTGTCTTCAAATTGACACAGATTTTTATTTTTTCAAAAAAAAATTACATAGATACCGCAACTCAAACAAGCTTAGTTCCATATACTTTGGGTTGGCTAAATGGATTTGCCGTTTCCTGCCAACTCCTTGTAAAGTTATATCCTTGGTCAAAGGCAACCCTACTTTTTAGCACAGCATCGACCAGTATTAATTTTTGCATTTCTCTAGCACTTGTGGACTTGTTACATCTCCAACTTAGATCAAGTCACTCTTCCATACTTGTGAATTTTAAGGTTTATGTTAGGTATGGCTGAACCCATCCAGCAGACCTTTTCCCCATTTCATCTTTGAAGGGGGTGACATCCATCTTCCCACTACTCAATGTTTCCCCATCCCCATTTCATCTTTGAAGGGGGTGACATCTATCTTCCCACTACTCTCAATGTTTCCCCCACCATCTTCCACAGTATTGCCACCCATCAATCTCAAACTTCTTATCATTTAATTGGTCATTTTTTAGCTAATAACATTCTTTACTAACATTATAACTGTTTATAAAACATTCCACAAACATACTTCAAAATTCTATAATCACACAACACTCTAGTAGGCATTTTTTCACCATTTCTTCCTCTACTCTAATTAGAAGGCAACATAACATCCTTCATGCATTATAAACAGAGGTCAAAGTAAGAAGAAAATTTGAATATAACAATAAATTTTGTGCCTCGGAATATTGATATGTTTGCACCACAGAACTAAAACTGGAGTTCCCCGGATGAAGGGTGAATATTAGAGGTCAAGGCATGCAAAGTCGTTGGCAGTGTAGGAACCAGTACATGACAAGATGAGCTTCTAAAAGATTAAGAGGACACTATTGACTAATGGTTGACTTTTCTCTCAACCTTTCTTTTCTTCTTTGATGCCAGAGTCTTCTACTCCGGCGTCCGTCTTTCTCTTTCTTCTTTTTATGGTGTTGGATCTTTGGTTTCGGCAGGTCATGCAACGTTTGTATCTCAAAGTTGCGACCCTACCATGTCTCAATCTCCATGGGAAGATCAAAAGCTGTTCAATTGATAGAGATGTGGTTCTTAGGGTTGATCATCAGAGCATTACAGAACGTGAATCCGTCTTGAAATCTTGCTTGCTTGGTTGTTTTGATCGTGTTGTGGGTTGTATTAAAAGGATTGAGTGGGCAACGAAATCTTGGCAGATTTCGTGTGGAGTTAAAGTTTCAACCCTACCTGACGGCCTTTACCTGCTCCATCTACCATCGGAGGCCGAAGCATGCAGGGTCTTGGATGCGGGGAGGAAGAGATGGGGTGAAGCTTCCTTATACATCGAAAAGTGGTACTTTGCGGTGGGTTGCTCAGCCGTGGTTGACCGTGATAGGTTACGAAGGGTGGTGTTGTTCGGGTTGCCCCTTCATCTCTGGTGCCACAAATTGTTCGAAGCCATTGGAGACCTCTGCGGTGGGTTCAGAGGTGTGGAAGCGGATGATCAAGCGAGAGTGGCAAGTGAGTTCTTCTTTATGTCTCCGCCGGAGCTGTGATGCCGGAGTATGTTTTTGTAGAAGACCAACGAAGTGTGGATGCGGATGATCAAGCGAGAGTGGCAAGCGAGTTCTTCTTTATGTCTCCGCAGGAGCTGTGATGCTAGAGTATGTTTTTGTAGAAGACCAACGAGTGGTCTTTAAGATTAATTTGATTGAGGAAACCTCACCTTGCATCCTTCCAAAATCCTATTATGGGGCTAGTGAGGCTTCCCTCCTTATGTCTGATGGAGAGTTCAACGGTGGACGACGCCGGCATTTGCAGTCTCTGCTCAGTACTCAAGGAAAGAGAAGAGCGTTTGCCAACGCGCCGGCTACGAGTGGGGAAGGCAGACCTCCGAGGCGTGCGCATAACGGCCGTCATCAACGCATTTCATAACCTCGTTTCGATCGCCTTGAAGACAATCAACCACGTGGACAATTACATGGCTTCACAAGAGCCTTTCATGAAACGGATACAGATGGGCGTAAGGTTGGGCTTCTATCTTCTGGGCTGAACAGTGGGCCGTTAGCCAGTGACAAATAAAAGGAATGTTATATGGGCCCAGAAATAAGTTATCCATTTCATTCCTCAATGACAAGCCCAGCCTACAGTTGCCCAAACCCAGACAAAATAATGATAAGTTACGTAATGGCCCATTAGATGACTTAAAATGAAAGGTTCACGGGGGCCCAAAAATCAGATGTCAGTTTCCTTTATTAACACAAAGCTCAGTCCAGCTACCGAACCCATTATCGATCATCAATAGGGTCGTCTTCATCATGCCATCTCTGCAAATTTCTGGAACTCGCCGGAGAAGAGGAGATGGATGAAATTTAGCGCCGACGAGGCTAGAGTGGGATTAGACAAGGTCTTTCGTCATCTACAGTGTTGCGCTGATGCTTCAAATAAGTCCCTACCAGCTACTACTTGGATAATGGGAAGCAACTCTGGACTTTCATCTCGGGATTCTCACAGAAACAACCATGTTTATAGATGGTCGAGAAAAGATAAACAAAAATGGACCTCCACTGACCCAGGTACGTCCTCTGTTATTCATCCTCAGAGCTACCTTACAGCACCTTCTTCTTCCTCTCTTTCTTGTGGGGCGGTGAGGGGCGATGTTGAGATGTCAATGGAGAAGAGCAGTGTTTTGTCTGTTGTGAATTCAGCACCTGCAGACAAGTATGGGCTGGTTACAGCCAGGAAGAATGCCAGCGGATTTGTCAATTCAGGGCAATCTGATCCACTTAATTGTGCAGCTCAGGACTTATCAGATGGGGTTTTGGTCCGTCTAGGGAGAGACCTTCACTTTCAGCTATCTAATGAATCAGCAATGGCTCTGCTCAAAGAACTCTGTTTTTATGTAGCCTTGAAAGGCCTTAATTGCATGCCGTCTGGAGGGGTTGAGGAGAATAAATTGGTCACTTTCCTGAGCAGTGGAATGGGAGACTACAATAAAGATTCAGACTCTTTTACAGAGTCATTTGATTGTGAAGGGATTGTGATGAGGAGGTGGCTACTGAACTGGTTTCCATCCAACAAGTCTGCTCCAACGAGTTTGTCCCTTGGCTGGAGAATGATTTTTCTGAAATGATAGAGGAGGAACCATTGACAATTGAAGGACCTGGTTGTTCAGAAACAGATATTGACTTGGGTAAGGACTGGATGATTGAAAACATAGGAGCTACTAGTGAGTTGTTGGGTGTTTCTTCAGAGGGGGAACAATGATCAGACACTATCCATTCTACAAGCAATAGTGGAAGGAAGAGAGGTAGTTGTGACTGAAGAGGTAGTGAACACGAGGCCTATATCGTCTTGGAAAGGGGCACAGGAGATCAAGAATTTTATCTCTTAAGTCATTTATGAAGGGAAGAAAGGGGTGGTGAGGGAGAGGGGAAGGACTAGGAGTCGGAGTTCGACGAAGGGAGGGGAGATTATTTTATCTGGTTTTTAATGAAGTTACGAATTATTACTTGGAATGTTCGTGGTCTCAACGACCCGAATAAAAGAAGGGTGGTAAAGATAGCTTTAAGGAAGTGGGGCCCAAGTTGTTTGTTTGCAAGAAACAAAGTTGGCATCCATTTCTGATGGGGTGGTTAGAAGTTTGTGGGGCAGATGGTTTGTGGAATGGAAGGTCTTGAATACTACAGGTACTTCGGGCGGTATCTTAGTTATGTGGTATTGTAGATGGTTGTCTCGGTTGGATGTGTGGGTGGGAAGATTCTCAGTGTCCTACAAGTGCAAGTTCAAATTGGAAGAGGACAATTTCAGATGGGTTTTCACTGGGGTCTATGGACCAATTGTTGATATTGATCGGTCTTCTTCTTAGGAGGAACCAAACCATGCTCAAGAAATGTGGTCTCTTCGTTGGTGTTTGGGTGGGGAGTTCAATTCTGTTAGATTCCCATTAAAGAGGTCCACAGGAGGAAGGAGGTCTTCTGAAATGGATCAGTTTTCTGATTTCAATGACGAGCATCTTCTCATTGATCTACCAATGGAAGGCACATCCTATACATGGTCAAATGGCAGGGACCCAGTCATTTTTTCAAGGCTTCGTTTCTAGATTTCTGGAGAGTGGGAAGAGAAATTCCCTGATGTCGTTCAAGCAGTCTTAGCACGAGTCACATCTGATCATGTTCCTCTGGTTTTGGATTGTGGAGGTTTGTGTTCTCAAAGGTCTCCATTTCGATTTGAGAATATGTGGC